ACACACACACACACACACACACACACACACACACACACACACACACATACACATACACACACACACACGCACACGCACACAAAGGCACACACATACGAAACATTCACACTTACACACACATATACGCTCACAACATACGCATATGCACATACATACACACACACACACACACACACACACATGTCACTGCAAGACATACCTACATGCACATGCGTGTGTGCTATGCTGCTTTCTTCTCCCTGCCTCTCTTTGAGCGCCGCACACCACATTCCTCTTTTTCCTCTCTTGTTTCACGCTTCGGACTACACCTTCCCTCAGCCCCATCATGCAAAGCATGATCCATTTGTGTTGGCTCGGTTGATGACAATGATCTTCCTTCACTGTGTGACTTTCCTCCGTTTTCACCTGATTGCTCGATCAAGTTGATCACGTTCGAACTATTGTCGCCGGATCTGCCACGGCAGGAAGCTTCCTTTGCCAATCCATCCTCGCTGTACACGTCCATGTTGTGTTCGAGGTTTGCATCCCCGTCAACTTCTTCATCATCATTTCCCGCTTCACGACCATGTGTCATACGAACTCCCTCCATACCACCACCTTCTTCCCTCTCCATCGAGTCTGGGGCTAACTGCGAGCCAGAGCCAGTGCATACCATGTGTAGAAGTTTGTTCCCCTCATCTCTGTTATCCGCTTAAGGCTCGGTAGTGTCCCGCGGGCTTACTCCTCCAAATACCAGTGCATCTCCCGCATCATGCCCCCACCCCCTCCGTCCTCCATGTGACGACATGCCTATGTTGGCTGCCGAAAGCGGGTCTCCCAGTCCACTGGGCACCCGTTGGGCACCCCCATCTCCGGCATCTCCCGCATCTTTGTCGGTTGTGGCCTTCTTTTCCCCCTGATCCTTTGTATTTCCTGCCTCTTCCCCACCACATCCCGGACCTGCCGTCTTTTCCCCTGGCACCGCACCAACGCCCTCAGAAAATGACGTTTTTAGTAGCTCATCAACCGATGCCTCATGAGTTCCCTGTTCTTTACATTCGACGTCCTTCCTCTCACGCCCTTCCTTTTCAGCAACACTCGTCTTAACGGCTCCTTGTCTAGACCCATTTCGGATATTCTCTTCCATGGCTTGAGTGCACCCCACCAATATGTCACTGTCGTACATTTGTTCCGTCTGACGACACTCCAATGCCCATCTGATCTGTCCTCGTGAAGGGCTCGATTTTCTCTCATAGAAAGCAACGCAATACTCCAGAAGATTGTTTTGAAGCAGCACTTCAAATACGGAGTTCACCTTTTCGCTGATATCTTGCTCTCCTGCACCCTTGTTTGCCTGCAGCACGCGCAACAACAACTGTTCCTTTGCAGTCTCAAGGAACTTACTCCTGCTCAGTCTCTTCTTCAATATCCACTTCCCTCCGACTCAGACAGCCATGTGCCATTTGCCATCAAACACACATGGGTCAAAAACACCCGGATGCCATATGATGTGATGGCCCTATTTGTACACCTAAGTCTCTGTGAACTTGGTGTCCAAAAAGTGAGGTCCTCCTTTGCTCTCCTTCATGTGACTTTCGATTTCATCTCCAGGAGTTAGAACTTTGTCCTCGTCGTCTCGAATGTGGAACAACGGATTGTCCTCCAGACACATGTCATTCTCCTCGGACCCCACGTCGTCATATTGACCACGAGTTTGGTTCTCTGTTGTCATTTCCATGACGTGGTCGAACATTTGCCGCATCAGCGTTGGAAACCCTGGAGCGCCTCTCTTGTCTTTCCATTTCGAAGAGCTTGCCTCGGTACCATCTCTTGCGGATGACGTCTGCCTATGTGTGAGTTGGGCGGTCTCGCAGCTGGCCATTGTCGGTCCCCCGACTTCAACCACTGCCGGGTTCCCCCCCGATAAGGACCCGGTGCGCATGTTCTTGTCAGTTGCGTGGTTTCTTGCATCAGGCAGCGGCAGGTCGATCTCGTCATCATCGGTATCCTCCTCACTGTCCATTATATCGGAACGGTTTTCAGGCTCCAACACTTCGTTATAGATCCTTGCGTCGATGCGACACATCTTTCTGTCGAACCACAGGTCCTCGCAACGTGCCAGAAATATCTCGATTGCACCAATTTTGGCGTCGTGGTACCGCTGGAGGTATTGGAGAGCGACAACTTTTCGCGCAACGTAATCAGTCTCCGTTCATGTGTCAGGAGCATTGCAGAACAAGTACTTCCATAAAGATTCTCTCTTCTTCACGAGTTTCAGGAACATGTCTCGGTCTGGCCAATGCTGGGTTTTGGGCCGTTCGAAGTGACAACGACTTTCGGGATTATGGACGAGGTGATCAATAAACGACGAACAATATTCGAGCATGGTGGTAGAGCCGTCACATGCCACCACATGACGGTCAGATCGAAGCAAGTCCCAAACTGACCCAGATTGAACGTTGCCCAGAAGACGCACACCCTCCCCCTCCTTCGAAAATCATGAACACAACTCCTTCATTCTTGCTGGTTGTCTCTCCCAGACCCCATAAACAACTTTGTCTTCGCCGGCCACGCCGATGTGCTGTTGTGTGCAACGGACGAATATATCCTCCTCGTAGTTAGTGTCAAAAAGCATATTATCACGTTTGGACGAGACGGTGACTTTTTTGAAGTCGTTGCCCGTGTCGTGCAACACAATCGTCATTGAGTCGCGGCTCCTCAATGGAAGATTCCCAAGGGGGACACATAAGGATGGTTGCGTGCCATGATGCCGTCGCCAGCGGCCCGGAAGAACTTTCACACCCCCCCACCTGAAGATGTTTCTCATAATGTAGTCCTCGCCCTTCAATCCACTGAAATGATGAGTGTCCAATGTCTCCCACACAGAGTCATCATCATTTGCTGAAGTTCCACAAACGTCTGCTCCGTCCATGAATCCAGATTCTTGTGGGGAGTTAGGTCCAGCACCGCAAGGTGACAACTCAATTTCTTCACAGCACGAGTCAGATCCTCTGTCGTTTGCAGCCCATCCAACGGCGCCATGCACACAGGCAAATACGTTGTATTACACTTCCGCTTATCCCACAGTATATGCTGTGCATTTGCGTTAACGCGCTGAAGCTCGTCCTTCAACTGGCTCACCGCTCCCACTATCTCATGCAGAAACAGTTTGATAAAGTACGAGCACTCGATATACATTTCAGTCGTCACCTTGTACCCCCCCACATTCCCCTGCCCCAACTTTCCCTCATCCACCCCCCCCAGTCGTTTCGACACGTTGTTCGTTCTCTCAACTGGAAGTTTCATCTTCTTCTTTTCCCATTTCTCTTTCGTCAACCCGTGCGGCTCAAACCTCTTCATAATATCATCATACCCGATGAAAAAACCGTCATTCCACTCACGATGTCCCCTGTGTTCCGACTTGAAGAGCACGTAGTTGAACATGTGCACCATGTATCTCTCCCTGCGCACTTCTGTGTAGAGGTCGTTCATGTTCATCAGTTTCTTGGCGAAAGTCCTGCCGGTGGTGACAACGACCTTCTCTGCCAAAATCAAATTCAATGCCATCTCCTTCTCCCTAGCAGTGAAATCCCCGAACACTTTCCAAGCGCTCGCCGGAGGGTCACTAACACACACATAGTACCCATTTGGACTTTTGTTCAACTGCACGTAGTGCACCAGTTCCTTTTTCCGTTTCACTGTTTTGGAAGTTGGACCTGCACCGGACGCCTCGCATGGCCTCCCCTCTTGATCAACCGGCCAAACTCCATCCTGCCCAGGCAATTACCCTTTCTCCCACATGTCGAAAAACCGGTTCACCAACTGCCACACTGCGTCGCTAGTGGTGGCAAGGCACATGAACGACCTCAAGAGGTTGGACCAATTACGGACAAATTTGTTGTTCAGCGACTGATTCCAGAGCTCGGTGTCTGGTGTCATCCATATCGCTTTGCGCAGAAAAGCGTGATCGTTCTGCTGCTGCGCCACCTTATCATCTTTTGTTTTCGCCAGATGCCAGTTACCCTTCGAGCATTTCATATGACGCCACAACCCTCTTATTGCGGTGACATCCATTCCGAACGACGAAGGGACAGATCGAGTGTCCCTCGTGTTGTCAAATGTGGAAATGTAGGCATACCCATCAAGATGGTCATCATCAAAGTACACCGCACGCGCTTTCCATGACCGGACGCCCCATTTCCTGGCAGCTGGAGAGTTCGCTCGCTCCAACCTCTTCGCAGCTTCCGCCGTGTGTTGGCCTGCCACGGTGTACCAATAGTACGAATTGACATCCTCGTCCCTCCAGTCCTTGTGTTTCAAATGTTGCCACTGTTTCTGCCCGTTCCGCATGACTTCTATAATAGGAGCCAGAATGAAGGTGTTTCTATCCCACTCTTTCTGTTTCTCTGGCCGTTCCATAGCGTCTTTGATGGAGGCGACCAACATCTCGTTCAGGGGTCTGTGATTGTACTGGAACTCCCCATCGTCTGGGTTCGGCAAAATCTTGCGGACATCTACGAACACCTGAACAGGCCGGTCGATCGCATTGTCGTCGTCATCATACTCTAGAAAGAAACATCTCGTTGAATCGATAGCATCCGACACCAAATGTTCCGGTTTGGACATATTATCTCGAGGGTCAACCCCGACCGGCTCGTCCCCGGAGTCTCCAACTTCCTTTGCACCGTCTATCTTCGCTTTCTTCTTTGGTTGTTGGGAAGAGCGTGGTCCCTCGCGCTTTTCCTTCGTCGGCTTCGCCGACTGTGCGTCCAATGCCTTCTTATACGCCTCCTCCGAAGTTGCCAAATCTATCAACTTCGACTGTCTTCGCCTCTGCTCCTCATCACCGCTAGCTCTCGATTTGCGAGACTCATTGACAGACACTCCGTGGTCATTGGCTTCGTCCTCTTCCCCTTCGCTCCCCGCTTCGTAGCTGTCTTCGTCCTCCGCCCCCCCAACCCCAGTTCCCTCGTCGTCATCGCCATCTTAGAGCCCACGATGGTCGTCACCGTCTTCCTCGTCATCCCCACCGCCGTCGTCGTCCCCTCCGTCCTCGTCTTCCACCCCTTCCTCGCCGTCCCCGACTCCCTGTTCGTCACCGTCACCACCGTCGTAGCCAGCGAACTGATCATCTTCGTCTTCGTCATGTCCTTCGTTCCCTTCAGCATTTCCCTCAAGCACATGTTGCTCAACTGATAAGTTGTCCTCCGTCTTATCAAGATCCTCGCGAACTTCGCTGCCACCATCATGACGTGAAGACGAAGCTTCCGACGGACCTTGCCATCGCTTCAGACCCGACGCTAACCGTTTGGACACCGTATTCGTTAGGGAACGTGGCCCGAGATCAGACTTTTGGACAGGCTCAGACTTTTCTACGACCTTATCACGTTTGGTAATTCCCACCGAGCTGATTTGTCGAGCACCCAGGTCCCCACCGCCATGTGGCGACCCAACAGAGATCGCACTGTGTAGAATAGCTTGGCCCAGCGCCTGCAATTTATAAGACAGAAGCTTCGATGCGAACTCGTCAAGTTGAATATCGAACGGTATGAGGGGTTCCCAGAGCGCCAATTTGCTGTCCACCGTGCACATATGGCTAGACACCTTGTGGCAATTAATTCTGTTGAAAAAATCGAAAGGGCGGAGCATCACAACCTGCGATGCGTCTTTTTTCCGCGACTTATCAAAAGAAGGCCTAGTAGAGGCCCGCATGCCGAACCCGACGAACTTTTGCAAATGCAGTGACACCTGTTTGTAGTTGTCCGGTTCCTCGTTACCATCAGCGTCGAAGCAAGTGATGAGGTGAAATCTCATGTACTCCTCAGCAACCTCCAGTTTATCAAACGCGTAATTCTTCACTCCACCGCGGGGGTAGTAAGCCCCGCTGGAATCTCTCAAGAAAACGACCGGGCCCTAATAGGGGACTTTTATGCCCAGGTAACAATCGAGCGCCCAATACTTATCATGGAATGTCGCAGCCCTGCCAATCACCTTTGACGTCGACGCACCCGAGGAGGTCTCTTTCCCAGCTACACAGACACCACACCCGATACGGAAATGAGCACGCAGTTGAATATCCAAAGTTTACGAGCCCTTCACAAAGAGAGAGAGAGAGAGAGAGAGAGAGAGAGAGAGAGAGAGAGAGAGAGAGAGAGAGAGAGAGAGAGAGAGAGAGAGAGAGAGAGAGAG